AGTAATCTATATGTAATATTTCCTCGATAATAAACTGCAGCGAATAAATTTCATATTGACGATATCTAACAGCTTCTGTAGTAAAGGAACTTTTCGCATATCTTTAACACTTGTAAAAATATTCAGAAGTCAATAGTACTCGATCCTGAGTACTTGTATTAACATCACTTAAGTCAGGAAAATCAATCGCACATACGACTAATGAATAATTTCGTTGATATGCCCTATGTTGTAAAAAAGTTGTAAAGTTGGTTTGACTTCAGATTAAGTGTGGCTTCATTCTACGAGTGGCAGGACGTAAATGTCAAAGTAAAAGCTAAAAATGAATCTTTTCATGCAACGTTTCTTCCTCTTGTAACGTCCACATTTTTCTATTCGCTTTGGCCTATCAGAATTGCAAAGTGTATTTGATGTCGAAGATGGATTATTGTTACTTACAATTCCGATTCTCAGCTCCTTTCGTTAGTTGCGCCTGACTGCCTGCAAGCGCATAAATCAAACGCGCAACTGACCACAGCGTAACTTGGAATGGCACATGGACCGCAGTCGTCGCAAGCACTGAGAAATTTTAGGAATTTTCAGTTGCTTTTTTAACTGAATTTTAAGCATTCATTTCATTTCGTGTGCCGTCCTCGAAATTCTATGCCACATTATGTTGTGGGCGCGTTTCGTCTTTTGTAATTGCATATCCTAGGCGAGCACGGGCTGACACATTACTGCATCATATGCCTCTGGCGCACTCAAGCAAATTTTCATTAATTATGGCTTTTGAAAGTTTCCGTTTGTAATTTGTTTGGTTTGTTTATGACTTTCAGTCTTCCAATGTGAGGAATTGTCATAGAGTTGGGCGTTAGTGATAAATGAGCCACAAATTGTTTAAAAATTGCTTAAATTATGGCATTGCAAATGTTGCAGTTTGAGTGCGGCAGCAACAATTTCGAACAATAGCACAATTTAACTCAATTAAATAATTGCATTCTCAACAAAAAGGCAAGGAATCGTAACAATAAAAAGTGAGTTGCAAAAAATTAATTGCCTACTTTAAGGCGCTCTGCAACTAATTGCACAAATTTAGTAAATTACCTACCGCTTGCTGTTTGTGAATAAGGAATCAAGATGTTACCTTCAACTTGACGGTCAAACCAGTTAAGAACAGAAAAACAAAGCACTTAAGTGCTCTCAGTAAACATTAAAGCCAAATTAAATTTTGACGGAGGGGGGAGGCAAGAATAAGAGAAACTGAAAGTTGAGAAAAGTAATTTATTAAAAAATAATTTTAGAGATCTTTTAAAATATATTGCACTCTAAATATATTTACGTTAATGTTAAAAGTGTTTAATATGAATTAGTAACATTAATGACATGTAATATTTTTGATCTTATTAAATGCCATATTTAATATCAAAATAATATACAAGTCTACTAACATAGCTATAAATAATAAACCCCCGTCCATTAATTATTAAAACTGTTTGGAATACTATCACATATTATTGGAGTTGATTACAGAAAATAAGAATATGAATAAAATCTGTACTATGAATAATGCATAGTATGTGTAAAGATTATATATCCATCTATCTGGGTACATATCATGATAAGTACATGATACATGTACCATGATAAGCATTACTTAAGTGCTGCGCACGATCAAGCTCGCGTCGATGGGTACTGTATTCTATACAAATGAACCATACTGACAGTAGTCAACAATTACTGCAAGCGACTGTGGTTTAATCGTGTACTGTAAAACAGAAATTGTAAAGTTGGTTGGTTGGTTGCTGTGGAAGACCATTGCATAACTTCCATGTTACTCAGTCAGCTACTTTTCGCCGTTTTGCTTCCACATTCCGAGCAAGAACCCTTAGTATAAAAGCGTTGAGACTAAATCCATCCCGTCGAAGTCAGATAATTTAATTTCACCGATGAACAGTCTGACATAATGTCAAAGAAATATCTTCTTCAAAACCTATTTCTTCTGGACGTCGGGTATTCACAGAAAAAATGTATTATGGTTTGTTTTTCCTGCGGGTTTCCACACAACTTCTGCAGTGAGGATTATAAGGAATACATAGTTTCTCAGCGTGAGTTCCTATATAACAATGACCAATAACCTGGAAGTTGCACTTGACTTAATTGTTTTCCATCTGTTATTGACAAGTTAACGAAAGTTGAGGTAAGTACTTTTTTTAAAGGCCTCTAGTATAATATATACCGGTACGGTCGGATACGCATCCAAAAAAACGCCGGAGCAGGTTAAACTGTTAGCTTTTTCGTTTCCTTGGATGTTCTTATACGCAGAAACCTAGACAAGGGAGCCATTGTATAGTAGTATAATTGTGCGTTAGGGTTTAATTTGTTTTTAATAGTGCTGTGCTTAATAATTTTGAATTTTATACTCAAATATAAAAGTCGATCATATTTTTTAGATAATATTGATTATTTCTTGATTACTCAGATACTATTGAAATACTAAAGAATAATAATTTTTCTACAACTATTAACATTGCTTTTGATGGTCTTCTTCGGCTTATCCTTTACTTCAGTGAGGCCACTAGCTGGATGGTGCGCTGTCCCAACGTCCCTAAAACATATATAACATTACTTTTGTTACTTATCAATAAAAAATCGATTATAACAAAAATATATTTAAATTTATTTAAAAAGAAATCACAAATAAATGTAACCAAATTCAAATTTAGGACATTTTCTGAGGCAATTAATTGTGTATGACCCTGGTTAGAAAGTTTGCATTTTCTCTCCGTTTATTCGTTTGTTTTTTATTATTCTGTTCCTTTGTAGCTTTGGGGGCAAATGTGCAGAATTGTACGAGTATATGCTAAATACAATATCACGCTGTTTAATGTTATATATCATGAGATGAAAAATTCATCAAAAGTTTGCTTGTTTCCTGTGGCGCGTCGCTGTTTTTGATTCATATCCGGTAACGCTTGCACGTTCGTCCTTCGCATTAATGACAATACGCTGCTTCCGGTGTGCCGTGCATATAACATTTTCTTACTTCACAAACGAAATTGCGCTTAAAAGGATGTAGCGCAGCTGGGCCTCTTATGTAGCGCCTGCAATTTCAACGTTTCGTGTAAATAAGTCTATTTGCGGTAGGTGTCGGTGTTTTGATGTTAGCTTGGTAACATTCCATAACTTGTGTTCCCTAATATCCTGTTGAATATACATTACCTGACAATAACTGACAAAATATATAACGTGTTAAATAATTTGAGTCGGTTTTTTCCTCTTCGGTCCTTTCAAAATTTTTAAAATAAACAAGTAAATACATTTTAAGTTGATGGCGTGAGTGTATTACCTTGTAACCACCGCTTAGTGGTGTTGATGTCTGCCGAGAATTTGTTGGGTTGCGTTACGGATGTCATTTTTTATTTTTACCTACGAGTCATTTATGAAGAATGCCTTCGACGTTAAGAAATATTTTTGTAATATAAACATTCATAAAACGAAACACATTTCATTTTAATGCTACATGTCAAAATTGTATTTAATATTAATGTCTACTTATGTACTTATGTGTATTTGGAAGCAGGGGTGCATTTGTTAAAAATGCATATAAATATTATTTTAATAAGGATTTTCAGTTCTAAAGAGAAATGTTTTCTCCAAACCCTACAGTATTAACCAACAATAACGTTAAAGATATATTACATATGATTTTTAATTCTTGCATAAATTACTTAGCCGCTTTTTGGAACTGAATCACACAAATGTAATTTAAATTGGAATTTTTTTAAAATTATTAATAATTAAAATTTAAACAAATGGAACAAATGCAATTAAAATACAAAGGTATGACTCGAATTAATTGAAATCTATTAGGTTTCAGCGATTATACAACAAAATCATGTCCTTTCATATATTATATTTATATTTTATATTTTGTACACCTTTTTCTTCATTATCTATAAGATAAATATATCGGATAATCGCCGATCCACGTCGAAATAAACTCATCATTACTTTTCCTTTGTGTGCAGTCGAGCAACTAATCAGCAACAAAAACTGTGCAATTTACGCTGAACAGTTCTTGTCACTTATTGACAGTTGTTTTCCTTATTATTATTTTTTTAATATTATATATATATAATATATATATATATATATATACATATTTCTTGAGCCTTATAAACATGAGCACAATGCTGTGCGCTGCTCCTTGAGATTTATTACGAGCAGAACGAAGACATGGAAAGTTTCATATTTATTTTATGTTTATGAAAGACATTTGTACTTTATGTGTGCAACCGTGTGGAAAATTGATTTGTTAACAGTCGAATCCAGAATCCAGAATCCAGAGTACCTATTATTTAGGCAATTGAGAGTTTCAGTTGTGCTCGTTTCAGCTGCTGTGGCAGCTAGCAGCAGGACGAATAAGCGCAAACACAACAAAGGCATAATCAACAATACTTAGAATTCCTACAATAACAATATCAACGGGAACAATTGAATTCTCTGCAAACGATTTCATAGCTCCATGGAATGTCATCATGGTTTGTAAGTCCAGGTGTATGGTGAGTTATTGTTTTGACACTTTCAATACATTAAAACATTTAAGGATATTTTTAAAAATTTATTTACCTACATTGATTTAATATTTTGTTCAAAGAAATTAAACTTTATTGGCTTATGTGCTTTCAATATATTTTTTGAGTAAACAAATTAATGAAATAAATTTACTTTTATTTATAAAAATAAAATTATATTTTAATTGAATACATGAATCTTTGACGATAGGTATTGTAACTACAAAAATATATTTTCCTTAACCTAATATAAACTCCTGTGAATAAATAAAAATGGAAATCTAGTTGCTTTTAAATACTATTTTATTGTGAATTTTGTGTATTTGATGTCCTTCTCATATATTATATGCATGTTTTATTAATTATTGTGTTAAAAAATATTTATTTTTGTAAAACCAAGAGCAAGATATTAGTTGTCAATAAAAATACTGTCAACAAAATCTTAAAAAAAGAAATAAGACCCTGTATAAAATTATGTAATTATTAAAATTAGTTTTGAAAGACTAACCATTGTGTTATGGTTTCCTATTTCTCTTCCACTTTCTGTTGTAGAGTACTCTTGTGTAAATGAATGCCATCGTTCTCAGTTGCTAAAGCCATGGATATGTATCTCTCTGCCAACATATTATGCAAGTCTCTTAATTTATTGTGTTCCTCTGCCGTTTCATTTTTATTCATGTATATTTCCGAAACTTGCTTAAAAATCGTGGATATTTCAGCACAACGTTCCTTGAATGTTGAACCGTTAGGCTGAACTTGGGATTCGGTTGAATCTTCGTTTGTACTAGAAAAACTCATTGCATTCTTTAATAGGTCCTGCACCCTTTCGTTATGTTTCGTTCTGTCATTCATTTCACCTAGTGTTTCAAATGAAGTTGACGGCTGTTCGTTTATTTTTCTGAAGTCTCCTGTTAATTGTTCATTTTTACTGTATTCACCAATAATAGCCCCACCTTTACTGTAATTTGCAGTTACGGTTGAATTTTTTCTCGAGTCAACATTTTGCAGCGCATCTATTCCAGATTCATCAGTGATATTATTTACACTGGCAAAATATTCATCCTTACCACAACCTAGAGTTGAGGACTTAATTTTTCTGATATCCAAATTCATGAAACTATTTTTAAGGGTTTCTACAATTGAAGGCTTAGTCTTTTTAGGATCAACCGCCGCTATTTTGTCAGTGAGCGGTTTTGTATCAGTACTTAAAAATTTTGCTTTATTCTTTCTAGAGCTCACTGCTGATGGTTCATCGGTAGCATAATGTACAGACATTGGTCTTTTTTTAATGGTTTCCACAATTGATATTTTTTGTCTGTTACCATCTGCACTCGTAGTGCCAGAATCATTTGTTAAAACTTCTTTTTTTCTGGTTTCCGAATTTGTTGGCTTATTTCTACAAGGGATTGATGTCAATGATCTCATTCTCTGGCATTCCCTAGCTAACACGACTTCTTCATCATAATCAGTAGTTAAGACTTCCTTTTTTCTGCTTTCTGCAATTGAGAGTTTAGGGTTAATATGTTTTTAAAAGATTCAATAGTCTAGTCGTTGACTTACTTTTAGCAGATTCTGCTGACGATCGTGCGCCTGTTTTATCTTGCTCCTGTTTTTCAGAGGACATTTTGTAATTTTTTACTTTAAAGCCAAAATTATGCTAAAAATTTATAATTTGATTTATAAATTGATTTTGAAATTAAAAAATATATCAAAAAAATTTTTGTTAAATGAATATTATTCGTAAGCTTACTTTTCTTTATTCTTGAGTAGAACATGTAAACTCAAAAACATTATTTAAAAGTATTATAAAATAAAAATAAATATAAAACAGATAAATATAATATAAATCAAAATGTCGTCGTTCAATATTCCAGGTAGAAACCATACATTTAAAAAATATTATATATTACCTTGTGTTCTTCGGCAAGACAGTTGACCAAGTATAATAACTGCTATTATTATTTTACCTAATCAATGAGCATCCTTTTTTATACTATACGTCACCATATAAATTCCTGAATTAAGCTATATTATTCGTATTAAATTTTTTTTTAACCATTTATTTTATTACAATCTGTCAGATATGAATGACAATAAGTAATATATATTAACATTAATCATAATAATAATAGTTATTACGATATAAAAAAAAGAAAGGCACGTATGGACTATGTCAAGTGATATATCCATACATAATTAAAATAGAAGTGTATGACCTACATATACATATTTAAAACGTCTCTCGATGTTTTTCTTTTTTAGCCTTGTAAAAGTGTTGGAGGGGGAAATCAGGTATGTAACCAGCGGGTTTGGATACATATATATGCGATGAGCGTATATTCTTTGTAGTTCGAGATATTTCTTCTGTAGTTGTTTATGCAGCTGTTCATCCGTTAAATATCAAGGTGCATTTGTGATCATTCGTAGAGTTTTAGATTGAAAACGGTGGATAATTGTCAAATTTGAGTCTGCTACAGTACCCCATAACTGGGCTCCATAACTCCATTGTATTATATAACAAATCAAAATTTTTATATTAGTATTAATAAAAAATTTTTTAAGCAAAAGACGCATCGGTCCACAGTTTTGATGACTGCAGCTGTACTATATAAGTATATTCGGAATATATGAACATGAGTAAAAATATATGGAAATATAAATATACTTTACAGTAATTATTATTCATCCATTATAACGTTATCGTGGTAAAATAGTTTAAAATAAAAAAATATTTACTATGTCTAATTTTATTGTAATATAAATTTTGTTAAAAAAAATATCTTGGTACTTACAGTCTCAAAAAAAAAGTATAATTTATGAATAATTAAATTCCAAGTCCACAGATGATCTTTAATTGGTAGTGCTTGAGGCACCTATATGGTCAGCCAAAAATTCAATTAATAAAAATAATATAAAAATAATTTTTGTTGTTATAGTTCACTACTTTTCGAAACCTATCTGTAAAATATTATAATAATAATACTTCAGGCGTACAAAAATTGGTAGATGATTTTTTAAAGTAAATTTTCATGAAATGATTTCATGAAATTAAAATAGGTATATCGATAAAATCCTTAAAAAATAAACGCAATATTTAAGTCCTCAAAGGAATGTGACAGCAAATTAATTTATGAAAATCTCTTCAGAGACCTGTCAATATTTTAGCAGAAATCAAATTTCAAATTTAATCTCTTATCCTTTAAATTTTTTATTCAATTCCTTTTTCGTTCTTGCCGTTTCGATTTTATTATTTTTATATTTTTATTAGTGTTTTCCACATTATTTAGAATTGTTTTTCCTCGAAAAACACGCAAATTCATAGAAGCGAACTGTATGACATGAATTTTCAATTGTGACTTAAAATTCGTTTCCTACGATATATTTTATGAAACTGACAACTTAACACCTTTTCTGCTCATACAAGGATTTCATAATAAATCATTGTGTAAATAAAGCTTGTCAGTATGCTTGTTATTGTCCTTGCAGCATAGCCACATAGGCTTAGCGCTAAGATGTAATATATTGTGGTGTGCCGTTGACATGTTTTCAATACACCATCAACACTTTTTGTTTTTTAATATTCTTCCCGATTTGCGTTGGCTTTGAAATATGATAAACTCGACATGTACTTTTAGTTAAAATACTGAGCATATTTACTTAAACTTTACACGTTAACGCTTTCATTACGTTAAGTACCAAAATGTGCAGATTGCGATGAGACTGAGACTGAGACTGAGGCTGAGGCGGAGGGGTTGCTGTACCAGGTGAAAATGTCAAAGTAGTATCCTTAAATCTTTCACCTTTATACGGTGATGTTGTCTTTTAGTAAACTTAGCGAAATGGCGCTTTTGGTTTTACTTTAGCTATGAAATTACTTTATTGAATATGCAAAGCCACTTCAATTAAAATCACTCATACGCCGTGTTGCGCTGATGTATGTGCAATAATTTTTCGAAATTACTTGAACGCGCTGACATTTTTAAAACTTTTGGCTGTCATCAATATTTCATTTGTAACTTTAAAAAGAAAACATTATGAATACGAACAAAACAATTGTTAGGGCGTAGTTGAGTTTAAAGGCAGGGGTCTGCATATATGGTTTTCTATTAAAATTTGTTTAAAAATTGCTTGATCAAAAAAAAAAATTAATTCTTTAAAAATATACAAAAGTTGTATTTACATGATGAATTTATATGGATACTAATAAAGATTTAGGTGAATAAAATAGTTAAAACACAACAGAACATCTGCTTTAAATGAAATCGAGTCCAGTTAGTGTCTGCTTACTACAGAAAGATAAATAAAAGTTTTTTCAATCGTAGAAAGTTTAAATTGTCGGTTGTCATTTTACAGAAAGTCAATTACTGTTATTTCTTTTATCTATATGATAAAAAAAATATGTTGTAACAAGACCGATCGTTTTAAATGTTAGGTGTAATATAGTTTTCTCTCGTTTTACATAACGTACAATATACTCGCTCGATATTGAGTGAGTACTATCTGTAGATGCGCACTATCTGCAGAAAAAATCTTGACCATTTGGGAGAGCACCTTCTCTTTGAGTACAATACAGAATCCTTCAGATCATTGCTTCCTAACTGCACTACATCTAACCAAACAAAAGTTTATTTTCTCTATAGTTGTGACAACAAACGAGTAAATGAACCCAGAGAAACTCAAGTGAAGCATACTATAAAATAGCTTAAGAAGCTCAGCTTTAAATGTAACTTTCTGAAGAAACTGGCGTTGTAATTGAAATGCAAGTTTCAACGGTTTTTGAACATTACTTTAGTGTCAATTTCTTATGTTACTTCTGAGTATATTTATGGAATATAATGTGTTTATAAGAAATGATTTAAAATTTGTTGATATTAAAGAAAACTTAATCTAAGCATATTCCTGAAAAAGATCGCTATATAAAGATTACGTGCTGATGTTTATTATAACAAAACCAGTAACCTAAAACATGAAAAGGAACCTCCTGCTGTTTGAAACCTTGGCACTTTATTAAATAAACAAATTTCTATAAATTTTCATAGTTTTTCTTGCATATGTGAGTAGCGCCCAATGCATGTTATCACTGTTCTCATCACAATATGGTCACATGTTAGTCACATGAGCAAAGCTATACATTTATAGTACACTTTGATTAATTATTTACAAGTACATTGTGAACAAACTCTTGATCCTGCAAAAATTATGTGTCCTCGTTTGTTTATATTTCGCCTTAAATTATAAACTTTTTGTTTCATTGCTTTTTAAACCATTCCCCTACGATAATAAAAAAGACGCGTCATCATTGTTGTCAATGGCATGTCATGGCTTGGTTTTTGCCAAAATTAAACTTCACAAAAAAACCACAGCCATGCAAAAGCATAGGAGAAATTCTGCATATATATAGAGACAAAAATATTTATGCATTAAAAGTCGTATATACCATATGCTGAGACTTGCAACGTTATGTACGTAGAAAAAATGTTCACAAAAATTGCCTGCACTGGAAGAGAAACCATAATTAATGCGTGTAAGTCACAAAAACAAAAAGTGGAAAGTCCTTCTTAGCAATATTTTGCTCCTCTGTTGGTTAGTCTCCTTAAAACTGTTTCAATAAAAAACAGACAAAACGGCAGGCAGAATTAATGACGACAGCTATTGATATCGGCGCAAAGGTTTCTGTAACCATTTTTATTTATGTAAAAAGCCGCACCTCAAAGTATGCAATAAAGCAATTAAAATCGAGCAGAGAAGTATCAGCGACTTAAAATTTTCTCTCCCAACAATTTCTCCGATATATATTTAAACATACCTGCTTAAAATATTGCCGGGTTAAATGTCTTCTTTTTCACATATTGGACGCACAGATATAAATATAATAAATAAAGAGAAACGATATGTAAAATTTGGAAGATTACATGGACTTTTATTAAACTTATTTCCACTGATGTCATTTATTACGGAATTTAAATAATACTCTTGCAACGACTGAGCATCATGTAGGGAGCGTTGGTAATACTGGTTTCAATAAAATGGCGGTGCCTTAGCTCAATATAGTGTGTGTACCAAGATTAGTATTACTTCGTGAAGACTCTATGCAAAATAGCTCAATAAAATGTGTTATTCATATTTGGATAATGCACATTCAGTGTACATTATAAATAAACACTAAAGTGCGGAGAAAACATAACTAATTAAAGAAAAGACTTTATCAAAACACTATATACTCTATTTGATATACTTATATTACTTACTGGTTTTTAAATAATCAATAATTATTATCTATATACCTGCAAATAACCTCACTAAAAGCTTTTATTTCACTCAGTATTGTAAGATATAAATATTATATATGTAATAAAATAATACATAAAATATGTATGTATGAAAAGGTATAATTTGCAAATATTTCTTTGACACAATGTTGAAGAAATCAGTTTTTTCACAAAGGAGACAAAAGTAGCTAAGATACTTCTGAATATATTTTAATTTTTTTAAAAATTCATATTTTTTCTTTATTTAAAAATAATATCATGCCAGTTACCTTAATTTCACTTAACCCAATTTCCTGAAAGCATGTTATCGACATATTCCTATGTGCTCCTTTCATTTGTACCGAACAAAATAGTCGTTGCTTGCGAGATTGTTTGAGTTCCGCTTAATTGTCGTTGCCATCGAATTAATT